CCCGTGGCTCAGGTCCGACCGAGGAAGTTGCAGCGCATGCCTCTTGTGGCTGGGGTCCCGTCCTTCCGGCCGGTCGTCGACTGCGATGGACTGCTTGCAGTGCTCTGAGGCCGCTGCCGGTCGTTGGGACGGTGTTCTCGTACAACGCGCTTGGGACGCTGGCGGTCATATGGGTCCATCCGACCCGCCTTGAAACACGGACCAAGGAGTCTAAAATGTGCGCGAGTCTTTGGGTGAGCAAAACTCCAAGGCGCAATGAAAGTGAAGGCGGCCCCGTGCCGCCGAGGCGAGATCCGGTCTCCCTTTGGGTGGGGTAGACCTATCCTACCCTTAGGGAGGTTTGAGCGAGAGCGTGTCTGTTGGGACCCGAAAGATGGTGAACTATGCCTGAATAGTGTGAAGCCAGAGGAAACTCTAATGGAGGTTCGTTGCGATTATGACGTGCAAATCGTGAGTAGGCGCCTAGATGACGGTATTTAAACACGGCGGAAAAATTCAGAAAGTGAACAACACAGTTATCTGGTTCTCTTGGTGGGATTATGTTGCTATCAACCGGTATGGACGTGTTGTCCTTTTTCAAATGCTGTTTGTTGCAATGAGAGAACCGCTTACTGTCATCGTGGTCAGAGATGAGTAAACCACGGAAGACGATGTATGAAGCAGCATTAAGTCTGCCGCTTTCTATTTTGTTCCTCAATAATTTTCCTTACATACAAGTTGGTTTCAATTTCGTTTTTTCGATGAATTATCTAGTTATTTTCGCTTACTTAATATTTTATATGTTCTCCTTAAGAAATTCACTGTAGCTGTTCATTCACAAGTCTGTCACGCCATCCCTCTTTTTTTGGGATGCCAATGCTTCCATTAGCTTATACCAAAAAAAGCCTTGCAGGGGGCTTAAAAAAAAAGTGTGCCTATTTTGGTACTTGTATAACTTTCTCAAAGCCTTTGTTCAATCTGAAATGCTAAAAAAAATAACATAACATTTTAAAACATTTGCATTTCGAGGATTTTTAGTACATGCACAGACACGAGCTCGTTCCCAAGGTCTTTTCCCTTCCTCCCTCTGCGTATCTAACGTGACGTAAGCAGTTTCGATTTCATCCGAAGTCGTAACCACTCCCTTCCGTTTCATGGTATTCGTCACATGGTTACATCGAAAGTGTTCGAAAGAGGACTGGGTTATCAAGGAAATTAAAAATGTATATACGGATCGATGTACCTCCATATTCCATTTGATGTAATTGGTCACGCTTCTTCATTCTTCAAGAAGATTAAGAAAGAAAGAGAATAATCAATTATTGGACGCTTATGGAAATCTCTAAGAACCTAGAAGTTTAATCGTTTTACGTCTTGCACGTCAGTACGGTCTCAGACCTGCCGAAGTATTGAAAAATTTGGAAAAAGATTTGACTTACACCTTACATCGTCCAAAAGACGAGGAAGACTCCCTAAACTGCCCGTAATGGTCTTTGGTAAAGACGAACAATGAGCAGCCGATATGCTAGAATTACAATCTATAACTCGATACAATGGAGGAGATCCATCTTCTGGTCGTCATCGATGTCTTCTCGAAATTTGCATGAGTTCAACCCATCAAATCTAAAACAGGTGTAGACGTCACAGAAGCCTTTGAAAGAAGACGCCTTTGAAACGCGCCGAAGGACGAACACTGCAAAAACTTCAAACGGACGTTGGTAAATATTTTTACAATAGCACTTTCCAGAAGTTGATGAAAGTTAAGATATTATACTCTTTCCAACAGAGGAGATAACAAGCCAGCGTCGTAAAGAGATTCAATCGTACCTTGAAAGAAAGACTTTATCGTTATTTTACGCTATACCAATTAACAAATAGAGAAGCCTTGACTGTGCTCTGTTCTGTTATAAAGCACTTAGGAAGCGGCTAGAGCACGAAAGAAGTGTAGGGAGAAACACGAAACGTAGTCGAGTGTTTCTTCCCACTTCTTGAGTCACTTCTTGGAACATGAAGATCGCTCGGGATGACAGCGTCGCAAAACTCGGCTGCAGTGACTGAAGTGACTTTCCACTCAACGCATCGGAAAGGATATCAGAGCGAGTTCTTATTTTTTCACTCGAAGGGCGGCCGATGTAGTTTCTGAGGCTTGCTTTACTGTGATGACCGGAGATCGTCATGATAAGCGAGCCGCGATGGACTTCAGCATGATCATATTTGCTCAGACACCGTCATGATTAGTATGAATTTTAACAGTTATGCCTGTTTGGTTATATTTTTCATCATTTCTGTTTTGTTCTATTTTGTTTTTGAACTCTGAACATTATATACTATTCGAGTGTTTGCTGTGTTTGATTTTTATTACCGTACTCTTAAGCTTGCAATCTAACTGAGCGTGAAAATCTTTGAAACTCGGAATGTCTATTTTGTTTTCCTTTAAGGATTTTCATATCTGCTCACGTTTTAATAACGTAAATTACGGCGCCTGGTATGTTTACAAACCTTTGTTTGGTTGTTCTGTTGCTACTTGCCGGCTCGCTTGTTCCGAAATTTCACTTTCAATTATCGGAAAAAAGCTAAAAAGAAGTCCCGGAAAAGATCGAACATAGAATAATTTGGCAGATGGCGTGACAGCTTTAGCTCAGTTCTATGCTCTATACTCTCATAGAGCACGCCCTTTCAACCAATGACAGCGCGCGTTATATCCGAACTTTATTATAAACTCTCATAGAGCACTCTCTTTCAGCCAATGACAACGCGTGTTATATCTAAACTTTATTATAAATCTAATTATGTTTTTAGGATTTACACATCTTTCAAGCTTTGGTAGATGGGTGCAATCAATCGTATCATCTTAGTAGTGGAATGAAACCTTCTCACACCAATATCGAGAATGCAAGTCAAGTGTGGGACACAGTGTATGGAAAACGAATCAGTCGAACTGAAAAGGATCGTGCAAGAACTCGTTTTGAAGTCGGTGATAAAGTCCTTTTAAATGAAAAAGCCAGGACTTTCCAAAAAGAGTATCTCCTAGGTTGGACGTAGGAAGTATTTATCGTATCGCACGTGGTACCGGGACTCGTGAATACCTACAGAGGCAAAGAAAGGGACGATTCATCGGGTCAAGGTACCTTTCACGAACAAGACATTCAAAAAGGAGAAGTGCCCGATGGTGCCAGATTTTGATTTGTATTGGAGAAACTTGATGCTAAAAGCTTCAAATTCGCGAAACCCATACAGGTTATGCTAACTACTCTTATTTTAAAGCGTTTCGATTTGTTCCTCTTTTTCTGTCTCTGCCTCTAAATTCAGCCACTTTGTCACATTTTTCCAATTTTCCCTCTTAAATATTCAACTTTCTACTCTTATGACTCAAGATTTTGGAGTGACACAAATGGCTTTAACCTTCTTAGAGGGAAGACTGGGTTTGACTCGCAATAGACCAAGTTTCCAACGTACTGAAACACCTCTTTCTTCAAGATCTGTCTCGTTATGAAGATCAATAAACAGCACAGGTTCATTGTCATTTGAAAGCAGGCCAGTTCCTAACAGGCAACTCCGCAACACCGCACCGGTTCGTGACAAGTGAAAGACGCTTTTAAAAGACCTTTAGCAATTAGGACTGCAACACCAAAGAAGACTTCGACTTAAAAATGAATGTATATTTTTAGTTGAAATTTCGCGAATGACTGGATGTGTTTAACATCTCTTACGGCGCTGCAATTTAACCTAAGCATAAAGTATGAGAGCGGCGTTGAGTTCATAATGGAGTTTTGCTGTAGAGGTTTCCTTTCTCGGACCAAGCAAATTTTGATCATAATGATCTCACATTGTTATTTTGCAGAGAAGGGCTAAGAAATGTACACAGTTTTAAAACGCACGTGCTGAGCCATTGCTTTGCTCATCAGATCTTTTGTTTTGTCACGTCCTCGTTGCTACCACCGTCGTAGTTTGCTAAAGTTCCCTATTGGCTCAGAAGCATCCTTACAGCAAAGTAGGAACTAATAAGGGATCACTGTTATGCTGTCAGTCGCTTGTCATCTGTGACTCCAGAATTGGCTTTGGTACACAAACGCATCAAAGTAATGGGATATATCTTGGTGCAGTGATCAAGAAGACAACAAGCCTTCTTAGAAAAGGCCCTAAAGCCTCATTAAATGTAAATTGGAAATTTTCAAAAGAAGGGTAGAGAGTCAGCAGAATTTACATACCAAGGCTAAAATAACATATCTAGTTTGCTTGGGATTTTCTCCAAAAACACTTTTTTTAAAAAAAAAAAAAGTCTCTGTACTTTTTACCTTATGCACAGAATGGAACAGCTTTTGAACTTACCGCGATTAGCCTTGTGACTCAATTTTTCACAAACCAATTAAATTTAAAATTGATGATAAGCACCTGCAAAGCCGGCCACCTTATGTCACTTCCCCAAAATTATTCATTATATTTTACCTCAAACTCAACAACCATTGCTTAGTACAGCAATTTATCTTCAACTTTTAGCTTATTAGTTTAATGATCTCAATCGTGATGAACGCTACTCTAAGGTTGTTCTTAATGCCAGTTTGTCATATGACCTGTAGTGCGATAATAAAAGTTTCTGAAAAAGTCAAAACGAGCTGCTATAAAATGCGCTTGGTGATCTAGTTTTCAGGCGGAGGTCGATTTTAGGCACAATAAGGGCTTAATAGTCTCGCATTTTTCTACAAGCTAAAGCCTTGTGTAGCAGCACAGGCATTTAATTTCCGTATAGTTTCTTGCTAAAAAATACAAAAATCGAACATCACACTTGAACCGCTGGTGTGTATATAAGATTAATTATTGATTGACTCTTCGTGACTCTTAATAATAGAAGCAAACATTTCATTTTTACCCTAAGAATTGAGCACCTTGCAGCCCTAGGGCTAAAGATATCAAATTAAAACAGAGAACAATGAGATGACATCCAGGTCTCATTGGTTAAAGACAGTTCGGAAATTTTAAATGCATTTTTTGCTTCAATTTGCATATCTTTTGCAAAGCCGCTCTCAGGGGATCTGCATCATGAAGAATTCGATTTTCATCCGTGTTCTGTTACTTTTGTGCCTTCACATGGCTGATTCTGTCCCTTCACAAGGTTAGCTTCACTATAATTGAACATATGTGGGAAGAGTGAGGGGAAACGAGCCCTTCTTTAACGTAGTTACCGTTAAACACCTGTCACTTGTTTAAAGAAGGTTTTGCTATCATATCCGTATAGAAAGTCCTGTAAAGATGATTTAACGCTTCTTAACTACTTAACTAAGTAAATTATATTTGGATGGGTGGTGAGAAGGGGAGATAATTTGTTTGAGTGACTTTGTGAATTTCCCTCGCAACGAAACTGCGAAAGGTTTTTCGTGTTTTTTTAAGCGTTTGTGTTTTTTTCATTAAATTCCCCTTAATCACGGAATATCAAAAATTTATCATGCTTTGGTAAATATGCAGCTTTTTTTTTGTTGTATTCCAATAGGCTGAATTGCGCTTTGACTGAGTAAAATCGCTACTCTTTATTTTGAGAGCAGATCTTTCCAGAGATCATATTTTAGCTATTCATAGGAGTTGTCTCAGTGAAAGTAGGTTAGACCAGATGAAGACCACTGACAACACTGCTGCTAAATTCTAGCAAACTGAGAATCGATGGAATAAAAAAGACTCTCAAACAGGAACTGAAGAATCGCTTTCAAGCACCGCGTGAAGGAAAAAATGATCGTCGACTCCTATAGTTCGAATATCACAAATGAATAGATGAATTAATTATAAAAAAGAGGCTACTTTTATATATAAAGAGATAAACTGTCGATTGTTATTGAACTTCATCTATAATCCTTTGCTGTCACCGTTATTGCTACTATTATTATTATTAATATTATTATCATTATTATTTGGTCTTTTATCGTATTGCTTGTTTTCTTATATCTGTATATTTGTTGTTGTTGTTATTTTTTAAATTTTAAAGACTTCTGTGATGCAAACCAATGCCGACAGTTAGAGTTTACGCCTGAAAAAGAGTTTGACGGCAAACGCCTCACAAACCACGTGATTCGTATCGTTGAGGTCATGAAAATGAAGTTTTGTAAGAACGTGTGTTATATGGAACCCGACTGTGTCAGCATTAATCTTGATAAACGAGTGGGTCAACAAGGAGATTACAAATGTGAATTGAATAATGTTACTCATGAAGGACACGAACTCGAACTGGAGAAGGAAGAACACTTTTTTTATCATGCAGCTGAGGTGGGTTTTGTTTCATCTGCAAATACGTAGTTTGAGTAAAACAACTACTTTCATTATCATAAACCTTGAAATGATTGCTTGAACTCGCTATTATCACCATCATTATTGTAATCGTCATCATTCGTTATCATAATTGGTTTTTTTCTACATATCCAGTTGAGTGTTCTTGGTTCCCATTCAAACAAGAGAAGTGTATCTAAATAAATTAATGTACCAAAGTCCTGCGTTAATATTTCAAGGTATTATGTTTTTCTCCTTTCGGCCTCAGAGTGCTTGTGTTAAAAACCCTTGCGAAAATAATGGTACTTGTCAAAGCGGTTTTACCGACAAAGGATATCGCTGCTTGTGTACTGCCGGATTCAGAGGTCAAAACTGTAAAAAAGGTAAACCTTACTGCATTTTTAAAAACGAGTAAAACACGACTGTAAGCTCGTGGAGCTTTAACCACAACTTCAATTTAATTAGGGCAAAACTTTAACAAACACCTCACATTCCATCACTCCAAAGTGAATCAAGCAACAACAGCTGCATTGCTGACTCGCCTCCAGTCCTCTTTTTTTATTACATGCGATCACGGAGTAGCAGGAAACAAGGAATTGTCTTTCGCGAGCCAGAGGGGCATATTGTTGCGCATGTTCTGTAAACTTGTTTTGATACGAGAAACCACCGGTATGCGCCTGCGTCGGTTTCCCGCTCAAGAAAAGCAGGAAGATACGTCGGAAAACAACAATGGATATTGTATTTGAGACAACCTTTCTTATCATTTTTCCCTATGTAACTTAAATGGAAGCGGAAAAGTCTTAAAATTGTTGTGTGGTGTGTGGAAGGAAGTTACTTTCAAAAATGATTACCAAAACAAGAAAGGTCAATGTCGAGTAAACAAAAGTAAGACAACGTTAGTACTAGAGAGACGGACGTTACATCGAAGAGCTTATTAGAAATTGAGGAATAATTATTTACCGGAGTGAGGATAAGTCTTTTCAGTCATTAGTCTCGGAAATATCATCAGATATGATCAATGATATGGGGAAATTGTGAATTAAAACAAGTGCTAGTTTGGGCTTCCAGTTGTAATATAAATAGTTCAATAAATCAATTATTTCCCAATGAAATCATATTCATTCATCATTTCAACTGCACAACAATACACTTTTTGCAACCTTATTCTCCAACCTATTGAATTACAAGAGTTATGTGACAATTTGATGGTCTGAAAAGGCTCTTATTACATGCCACACAACATAGAACCAAAGGGGCTGATATTTAATAGTGAGGATAAAAAGCCTTTTTTCCCTGGGAAGGAGACCAAATGAGGTCAGAGTAAACTAATGTGTAGAGGTTTGTTGATCTCTTTATGACAATGGATGATTTACATCTATCAGATTTTAGAGAAATGAGACTTAAATCAAAAGGGGACTTACACATTGCACATTTTGCCGTAATGGGCATTGGCTTGGATGCCTATTTGAGGAAATTTATAGTTTTCTAGCCAGGGGCAAGTAAACAATGAACTGACAGTGGTGAGGGATTTGGGGGCCATGTGATTAATAAGTTTTGCCGAAGTTTATCCTCTAGTTAGCACTTCAAGCCCAAAAAGGCAATTAGAAAAATTCAAACCAAAACACAGCAACAAAATAATATAAAACCGGAGATGATTGAGGCAGGACTATAAAAGTTGTTTAGACCGTTGCCTACGTACCATGTACAACAGACTTGGAGAGCAAAAAGGCATTTGCGAGCCATGGCTTGGAAAATCCAGCTGAACCTGCCAAAAACGAATTCGCTGAAGGATGTCGTAAGAGCAACTCAATCCTGAAGCTGGAACATTTTTTAAAGCCTTGTGTCCTAAGTGACTACAAAGAGGAAGAATACATCTTACGGAAATGAAAATGTTTCGAGCATCACCTCTATTTTAACTACCATTTACCCACCAAAAATTGTGGTACACAAAGACGATGTTATTTGAAGTGATTTGAAGCTTGGGGCCACCTCGAACTGAACGCAATTTCATTTCAAAGTTGAAGTAAAATAAGATCAAATTCTAAACTACCTTCTATTACCGAAACGAATATCTCACGATCGTCTCCACATACAACTTCGTGATTCATAGAAGTAAGACATCAATATCTTAAGATTAACCTTCAAGGTTTGTAGTCTCATGTGCACATCTTGATCGTTAGTAAATCAAACCTCAAACTTCAAGTTTTCGGCCATTTTACGCGTTTTGTTCGAACTTTGATCATTAAAATATCCTCATCCGAAGAGCCATCAAACTCCGCAAGTATCCAAAGAGTAAGAAATGGTGGTAAACTTGTCATACTCTTTCATCCCTCGCCAAAAAATATTACAAAAAGGTGTCGATCGCCCAGTTGAAAACCCTCAGAAGGGCGCTGGAAATATCAAAATGAAGCCGAACGCGTTGAACAAATTTTACTGGTGCATGCGCAGACGAAATGCCCCTCCCCTCTACCTCTTTCGCGCACTTACTGGTAACCCCATTTCAAGCTGTGAAATTCAAACACGGCTGAAGTTTGAGATTACGCCAGGAAAAAGTTTTAATAGAATTAATTTATTGTCCCGCGACTTATCTCTTAACTTAAGATTTTATTCGTGCAGTAAACAACGGAATGTCAGGAGCAACTCTTTTTATTCAGAAAATGGTATTTATTGAAAATATTATTGAAAAATAGTATAACGACAATATTTTTCAGATGTCAATGAGTGTAGTGAGGGATTACACAACTGTAGTGTTGATGCCGTGTGTAGCAATATCAAGGGATCGTACAAGTGTACATGTAAAACTGGATATTTTGGAGATGGAAAAGTTTGCAATGGTAAATTTGTTAATAGGAAATGAATTCATGATTAATTTATAAAAGTATATTATTTTTAGATGAACATGATATCGGATCTCACGCGAGGCTCAATTGGTTCAGTTTTTCTTGCTTTAGTTTCACATTTATATTTGTCTTATATGAGAAAATCAAAGCGATGATTTTAACGCGTATATATTGTAGATTTGAACTATCTTTTCAGACATGATTGAGTTTGACGTAGGAAGAGAGGATTGTTCCCCTAATCCTATGTGCAACAACATCAAGAGATCGTAGAAACCGAGTTAATAAGGACAATGTATTTTGAAGAAAGTTTATTGACTAACAACCAAAAATCTCTGTACACATTTTCAGCTTCATCATGTAAGGAGGTCTACAAGAAGAGTGGGTAGGTGATAAGTGCCGATCAAAAGGGATGTTGAATCACATAAGAATAACCATAAAGTGATCATAAAAATAATGATTATGAAAACTCAGAAGCAGAGAAATTTATGCAAAAGCAATTAGCAAGACTCTCGAGAAGTCTGCGTGTTTCACTCAATTTTAAATTTGAGCTGTCTCAAGATTAAGAGAACTAATCACATGACCCTCCATTATTGGTTGTAGCAACAACTTGCGTATTCCATAATGTGGGATACACAAGTCGTCGCTCTACAGGCGTTCAATCAAAATTCAGCGCTGTCTCTCTTTCTCAGAGGATTATATATTCAACAGATTAAACACGAGTGGTGTGATAACTCTACACTTCGGATCAGGACCAAAATCCGTCTTTTGTCACAAGGAAGATTTTGGATGCGGAAATGGAGGCTGGACGCCGGTAATGAAGATTGATGGTAATAAGGTGAAAAATTCACACATTGATGTTTAGAAGAGTCGCCACTTGTTTATTGTTGTTTGGTATAAAGGGCAATTCGCTTGCGCTATCATTAAGATAGTCTTTGTTTGGATTAGTCTGTGAATCAATCAGTCATACACAATCTAGAAATTTGAAATAAATACGAAACGAGCACCATGGATGTTAAATTCGTAATCCGCTGTCTGAAAACATGTTCCTTAGTTGAGCAGAGTGTTGAGATAATAGTGTCCTGGGCCTAGTTATTCGAGGACCGATTAGCGCTAACCCAGGCCGGGTTAAATTTTAATCTAGGTTTCTATATCTCTCGGTTCAAAAGCCGTTTAGGATAATTTTCTCCTTATGTTTGTAGACCATTCAATCATCAAATTGAAGACAAAAAGAATAAAGCAGAATTTTCTTTTCAAGCCTTCAGATTTTTCAAGGCCCTGCTTTAACCCAGCTTTGAAAAACCCGGCCCCAGTGTCGTAAATAATATGGAATGTTCTTCTGTTGCGATGCAACTTCTCATTATCACCGCTATTAAAGCAATTTTTTTCTCCACGCAGAAAACTTTCCACTATTACTCTTTGTTTTGGAGCAACATGGCCGAATACAATCCGCGAGGAGGCATGACTGGGTTTGACTCACAGGAGACAAAGCTACCAACTTACTGGAACACATCCTTCTCAAAGATCTGTCTCGGTATGAAGATCGGCGAAAAGATCAAATTTATTGTAATCAACAAGCAGGCTGACTCCCTGTACTCACTGATCGCTGACGGTCAATACCACTCAACCTCATTGGGTCGTGACATGTGGAAGAGACTGATTGGTCCAGAAGCCTCCTTGCAAACAGAATGTGGTGAGGAAGGGTTTAATGTGTACGGCTCTGCCCGCCATTCCAAAGCAAGAATCGGCATTGTTGGTAACGAGCAAGAAGACTGCTCGAGCTGTGATTCCAGGATCGGTTTTGGGACAGGAGGTACCCCTGACAATTCTATTACGTGTGGAAACGTAGCTAGACACAATCCAGGTAAAAAAGACAAACACATCAGAGCAATGGGATATATCTTGGTACACTAACAATGAACAGGGTCGATCATCCAGCTGGATAACCTTTAACATCTTCACGCTAACTGACACAGCAAGTTATGAGTTTATGTTTATGTTTATGTTTATGTTTCGGTAAGATACGAAATTAAGTGATTTGATGTTGTATTGAACGACACGCAGTTACACAAATCGTAATGTAAGAAGCAATGTAAGTAATGTAATGTAAGTATTTCATACTTTTTGTGAGGAAAATACTAAGTTGTAAGTTATAAAAGTATTTGGCACGTTCTGATCGTCATAAAAGGAGCCGTTATCAATTTTCAGTATAGGTTTAGCAGTGCGTTTATTCTGGGTGTTAAAAAAACTAATAAATAGTTAGAAAACCTAACAAAAATCAATCAAGTCAGCTTTCTGATCTAAGCAGGCACACAAGAGATTTTACTGATGATCCAACACATGCGGAAAAAGAACCAGGAAACTAGATAAAACTTACAGTTAATGTTAGAGGGTGTCAATGGGGTGATGGCATTTACGGCTTACGGTTTAAATTTTGGCCAATTTACGGCTAACAATTAATATCTTTCAATTTTCTTCACTAGAGAAAATTTTACGATTAACTTTTTCTACGACTAGCAGTTAAAATACGTTAATTTTTTGCCCAATAATACAATTCTTTAGCCATTTTACGGTAAACGGTTAACCCCATTGAGACCGTCGCATAGGGCCCATGGGATAAATTTTGGTGTAATAAAAATCAAAACAGCAAGATTCCAAGAAACATTGGCCTTCAAGAGCGACTGCAAAGAGAACTAACAAGTATCCTCATTTAGCCTCATGGTACCACAAGCGACTCAAGCGTCCTATATGCAATCTCGGGGTTTCATAGTTTTAACAGAAATCGAATACCTCATATGCCGAAAGTGTGTATTATCATATAAATTACGGTGTCATACAAGGATTCCCAGCCCTGAGAAAAGCCGTAACAACACACGTGAAAAAATACGATATTTTTCACGTGTGTTTGATATCGTCAATCAGCTGCTGACACGTCACTCCCCTTTGGCGCCACTCGGTCAGGTTGATGAATGAACGGTAAAGCAGCCTTCACGATTCATAATACAAGGTAGTTCGTCGGAATTTTTTCCGATTACGGTAGCTAAAACACTGAAAAATCCGTATCGCTCACAGACAGTGACGTTCAAACTTTCTTAGAAGGGGAAGAAAACTATTAAACGAAAAGAAAAACCGAAAGTTACGTATTCGAAAGTTACGTATTCTCGCAGCTGAGAACGAAAATCGACACCTGGAAGATTTGCCACTGGCCATGGCCGATTTTGACTGTTTACCTGAAAGACTTTTTCTGTCCGTAAGGACAAAGTCAATAAATGAGAATTTTGAACATTGACAATAACGCTCATTGTAGTTTTCATAATCATGATTCAACGCACATTTCCATCTTGAGATGGAAACGATTGTTATTCGGGGACTGTCTGACTGGGGGGGTTATTATTGTTAACGATTGTTATTCGGGGGCTGTCGATTAATTTATTTTCACCACAGGCGGCCCAAGCTCCAGCTGTGAGATGATCATCTTGCGCAATAACAGTCATGACGGAATTATAAGAGTTTGTATGGGCATATTTACGACCGCTCTAAGGAATAAAAAATACGTCAAATTCTCAAAAAAAAAAGACCTCACCTTACTTCCACAGTGTGTCGCTTGTTATCTGACCGCTTACTTTGATGAAAAGAGCCCATTTAAGCGAGTTGTTTATTTCGAGGTTTTCAACGTACATAAGGGCTTTTCTTATGAACGTTGAAAACCTCGAAATGGACAACTCGCTAAAATGCGTTCTTTTCATCAAAGTAAGCGGTCATATAACAAGCGATACGCTGTGAAAGTAAGGTGAGGTATTTTTTTCAGAGAATTTGACGTATTATTTTATACCTTAGAGCGGTCGTAAATATTCCTGTACAAACTCTTATAATTCCGCCATGACTGTTATTGCGCAAGATGATCATCTCACAACTGGAGCTTGGGCCGCCTGTGCGCTACTCACCATTTTGCTGGCGGGGAAGCATTACAAGAATGGTTAAATGAGAGAAACATTGAGCTTGTCTGCACACCAACTTATTCTCCGGATTTTAATCCTGCAGAGTTCGTTTTTAACAAAATGAGAAGCGTGATGCGTTATCATCTTTGGGATCTAACAAATGAAAACATTGAACTTGCTGCTTATGAAGCTGTAGATCACATAACGTCACATGATATGGCGAATTTTTTTAGACATACGTCCTACATCAATACTTAGCAAGAGAAAATAAAGTGTTTCTCTGTTTCCACAGAGTTGTTAGCTCCACATGCTGTATAAACTACAAATATTCTGGTGAATTCTGTTTGTCAACCCTTGTCAAACACGAGTGTATGACTGATTAAAAGCCTTCTATAATTTCAGTGTTCGCTTTAGTTGCATGCATTGCATTTGTGTAATAATATATTGACACATTTATCTTACAACAACAACGACAACTTTATTAAAGGGTTTAAATTAAATGTATGCAGAATACATACTCAAAAACTCAACAATTTGTGCACATACTGACGCCAGTCATTATTCCTCGCTAAATCAATGATTGCCTCAAAAAATAGGCCAAACATCTGATAAAGAGGTGGCTACTTCTTTACAGTCTTCACATGGTACATCTAACTTCAGTGTTGGCGAAAAGAACGTATTGCTAAAAATAGAAACCTGTCCACGCGTGAGAAAATTTTTTTTTGAACGGGCTTCCATTATTTTTCACAGTAAACGGTTTTCGGTGTAAATAAAACTTGAACTATTGAAACTTTTGTTACACATAAAACCACAAATATCATGCAACTTTCACAACTAGATCGAAAAGTGTAAAACAAGATCTACGATCTATTGCGTAAATGTAAACATGAAACATATGTAAACCGCCATGTCAATTGTCAATGCGTGTTCTCTGGTATGTTATTTCTTTGAAGTTGTACGAGAGCATTCGCCGCTTCTTCTTCTCTCTGAGCTGATGATTCAGGCTCAAACGAAGGTGCTTTCCAGCCCTGGCCGGGTACAAACATGCCACAATAGTTACTTTCTTCATTTCCTTCGCGGGAGGTTACACAATCCGCTGTCGATCCAGTGCACAATGTTTGGTTGTTTAATTCGGCTTGCAGACGAACTGCCATTCTAAAATCACTTTCTTCTTCTGCTGACAGAAACGGTGTGCCGGAAAAAGTAAAAGACGAACTTGCAGTTGATGGACTATTTCGAGGAACTGCCATTCTAAAATCACTTTCTTCTTCTGCTTTCAACAATGATGAACCGGGAAAGGAAGAAGACGAACACGCTCTTGCAGTTGATGGACTACGTCTAGGAAATCTAATAGCATATTCGTCCTCTAAAATGTGCTTTTTCGGGTTTACAAATCTTTCTTTAGCGTGCAGTCGCTGTGATTTTAATTCATGTTCTTCAACCGCTACTTTTAACAAATTCACTACACTATGTCTTGGAGGCAGTTTTCCGTAGCATCTTTTCTGAAGTAACGCAACATGTTTATTAAGAAGCGCCCAATTTTTTACCCCATTAACAATATATCTATCTGGATTAGAGGCGACAATATCAGCCTCAATTTTTCTAGCAAACGAATCTTCAACTGTTTTGTAAGCGCTAAGTTTGCTGTTGTAGTCGCTTTGGAGATTTGCTAATTCAGTCTCGCATTTAGTCACTTGCTATGATAGATTTCGTCTTACAGCTTTGTCATTAGGATGCTTGTCAATGATTCCACACAGCATGGCGGATGTACATTCAGCTCCATCACAGTTTCTTCTGGTGTCCCACCTTGAAAAGACATTTCCCACAGATAGAAAGAGAACCCGCGGAATTATGAAACGCTGCTCTAGATAACTCCCTTTCAAAGTTGTCCTTTTGGACTTTCGCATGTCCTAAAGCCTTAGTTGCGCCTTCAACGCCTGCACGTTTTTTTGACAACATACGATCTACAGGTGTGTCTTTTAGTGCGGTGGCTTCCATTTCTTTGTTAAAAACAGCCGGTGACTCGGGATTTTCAAAATTAAGTTGTTTCTTTAGAGGGTCCTTCAACTCCGCGCTGTTGTTTTTCCCGGTACACGTAGTAGTACTCGCTCTCATTTCTTGACGCTTCTTAGAAATCATCTCAGGTGTAGACTTCGGCTGCCACAAATGTTAACTTTCAACCGGTGAAAAGTAGCTCCTGGTACTGTAACAGCACATTGTAAAGCGTCCATAAATGAGTCAATGGCACGTAGATCAATCAAGGTATTTTCGTCGTCGACATACTGCACTCGAAGTTCAGAGTTGGGGATGAATCTCAAGCATTCGATTTTACCTCGCACTACTTCCTTAAGTTCTTCAAAAGATTGAATGTTTTGATCCGTAAAAATAACCTCGCAACTTTCCCCCTCGGGAAAAGAGACGTTGTAAAAGACTTTCAACTGAAGCATGTTGACAATTTGACATTCCAACTACCAGCTGAGAAGTAACTCGACTAACCATTCATATATTTTAGGGACTTGTCAGAAATTAGCAGGGGGGGAGGGGGGGTGGAAACAGAGGGGGGGTCACAACTTTTTGAGCCTCAGAAAAGGGAGGGGTCATGAAAAATGGGCAGTTAAAAGGGGGAGGGTCATGCAAATATATGCCCGTGATCATGTAGAGGTTCACCCACAGAAGAAAAAGGAAGTTCTTTATTTGGAAGAGGTGGATGATCATGATGAATGTGAGGTAGATGAAGGGGATGAGGCATTACCCACTTGTTCTAGTGATGAAGACTTTGTATTGGGAGAAATAGGAGAGTCGAGTGATCAGTCGGACTCTTAATGCTGTCATCGAAAATGTATGTATGTAGCATGACAAAGAACAGATTAGAAATATATTTTGAGTTTTCATAATACTGACGCACCCTAGTGTATTGCAAGAACTAGATTTTATCATTTATACAAGAGGGGGAGGGTCATGATATTTTAGGCCAAGCTCAAGGGGAGGGTTAGCAAATTTCACTCATTTCACCCATTGCAGGGATGGGTCACCTAATTTCCGAACCTAAATTTAAAATTCCCACCCCCCCTCCCCCCCTGCTAATTTCTGACAAGTCCCTTAGCGGGAACTCGCGGTAGCCGAACACTGATGACGTAAATACCGCGAGATATTTCCAATGGAAACAAGCGGTGTTACCAATGGCAACATAACGGTTTTAACGGTAAAACTTGGCCGTCAAACTTGCCTCGCGCCAAGCTCAATCGGGAAGCGTAGTAGCAACCTGACCGAGTAGCGCCAAAGGCGAGTGACGTGTCAGCAGCTGATTGGCTAAATTAACACGTGGAAAAAATACGATATTTTTTCACATGCGTTGTTACGGCTTTTCTCAGGGCCGAAAATCCTTGTATAATACCGCAGTTCATGTGATAAAGTGTTTTATTTCAAACATACGAAAGAATTCCGCGATCGACATTTCACCCGCAAAACTTTCTATCGGATGATTTGCCCTTGGCGGTGAACGAGAAATTCGAGAAGCTAGGAAAAGTGGCGTTTGAAGGAATCAAAGAAGGAAATCTGGTCCTTGGTGGAAACGAAGTACGCGGAATGGAAGGCAGCGCTCTTTTTCACCGCTTACCCGACGGTCAGCATTAGATTCCATCCACCAAAACCACCTCGGTCGAGAGGGACTGAGATGGAATATTTAATGACTTGCAAAACATAACCGAAGATTCTCGGAAATCCGCAAGTGATGTAGCCGAACATCAAAAGCTGTAAATCCCATGATTCTTGAGGAACAAACAGAAACAGCATAGCGAGAATTTTAAGTCGCGAACCATTGATGGTAGACATGCAGATAATTTAGGATACGTAAATTCTGTTAATGAGGCGCTTAAACTTATTGCGGAATTTGAAACAGGATTGACGACGAAGTTTTCTTTCTTTAAAGCTGTCAAAGGTTTCGGGAACATATATTTATATATATTTGATATAGCTCTTTAGCATTACAAAGCTTTGCTATCGCTATTGTGCATTCTCACTAGTTTGTCTAGTTCAAGTCCTCTGGCATGGCTTGGATGATACCACAATCGTGGAATCATTCGGGTTAATTTAATGCTTACACCTCCTTCCTCGGACAGAAGTCACAAAATACTGGGGGAAGATGCATGAGATATTTAAGGAGCAAAAATTCGTTTTTTGCTGGTGTGCCTTTCCTAATTTTGGGAAGGAAAGTGTTCAATTGTCAGCACGGCATAGATTGAACAGCTGGAGAGAAAAGGAAACGAAAAGATACAGAAGAAGTACTGTATATAATAATTTCTTTTTATCCTCAACCTTTGTGTTTCTGTCAACTATGGCTTGCTAATTTGAAAGGTCAAATACATGAATGGGTCATATGACATTGATCTCAGAATACTTTTATGACAAACGTGATAACAGTTCAATCTTGGCTAAATTGAAGATGGTTTAGAAGTTAACAATTGTAAGAACTTTTCACTAACATATGCTGCTGACAAAGGAGAAAATATATGCAATTCTGCATTTTTTGCATTCTATCAAGCAATCATATGTTTGCTCCTTATCATGCTATGACACTTCCGTTTTGTCACATTCCAAAAAATAACTTGAGAAATACACTGTCACTCATCTTACACTGTTATATTTACCTATTACAGAAGGCTGGAAACAAAGATTTTGTTTTCAAGAAAATAAGATTTCTTGTCCAAGACACAAGGAAGTTTGACTGCGAAGCACAGATAAAAATGCGAGAAATTTTATTTTTTTCAGAGAACAAGGTAGTTCTACTCATGTATAAACAGAACAAATGCGATTTAATAAATCAGATATGCGGCATGACTCCTTTTCTTCCATCCCCACTCAAAACAAGCAAACACACCTATAGAGGTTCCAGTCTGGTCTGCAAATGAAAAGGAGGAAGGTGATCACTGCAAAATTAAGCATTAGGGTTCTTATTTATAACATATTGATTATTGTATACTGATATCTAGAAATTAAGGTTGCAAGTAGCAGCCAGCTGAGTTATAGTTTGAGTTTTATCAAGTCCATTACTTTGTTAAATTTAGAGTAACCTTGACTTGAGAGAGGAAAATTGAGGAGCTGTAATATACTAATCATCAATTAGGGACCACAAAGAAAAATTTATTTATAGAGACTTTTGAAGGAGAGGGGTAAGACTTGTGACAAGCTGGCAGACATATAGATAAACTTTACTGCTAAATGGGTTACAATACAAAGTGCTCAGTATTTGGATCAGCTATGGCTCAACTTAAACTTTGCTTTAGCTTCAAGTTTAATCCTTTGTGGTTTCCTTTCTCTGTGTTTATTTTTCAAGTTATGTACACAGAAGAACACAAAAATGACAAGGAATGCTTTTGAATATCAAGAGGCTGGAATAAGCAAGAAACCAAAACTGAATTTTAAACAGTACAAAGTTAATTTGATCTTCCAATGTTATTTAATTTTAACCATAGAATTTGCTATTTAAATTTATCCCCTATTTTCTGGGTATTGTGAGCAAAAACAAACAATTATCACAAAATGCATGGTATACAATGGTTTGATTCACCAATGTGGCAAAGGCCTTTCACTGTCTATCCATAAAAAGGGAAATAGTTTGTAAACTGTAAGACATTCTGCATGTTGAGTGTATACTTATTCATCCATGTGAAATTAAAGGTTACTTGAAATAAATGTGAAAGATTTATAGGATTTTCAGACCCCTGATAACAATTACTAATGTGCTGATTTGTTGTACTTAAAGGTTATGATTTTGGCGGAAATAGTGGAAGAAATTTCTGGACCTGGAATTTTGTTGCAAATGTTTGTTTAAATCAGTTTAAGTCAGTTAAAAACTCTCCTGTTTCAAGATTACATGATTACCACACCAGAACCTTTTGTATTCTATATTATGCACCATGTTATGATTATGGTTTCAATAATAAAAGGTGCTGACTCAAGAACTTTCCAAAATATCTCTACATACAAAGAAATAGATTGTGGTTATGTACTCCAAATAGCAGGTCACATCAGTCTTCTGTAAGGAAGTAGCAGAAATTTCTGTGGTGGTTTTGGTGGATGGAGAGAAAAATCCACCAAAACCACTTTATTCTATGTATTAAGAGTTATGATAATCATTATGAACGTTTGGTCGGTCAGCAATTGTGCACCATAAAAAATAATTAGCCAGAGCACTAACTGCTAATTAGTGGTATAAATCTTTTGTCTCCCTGAACATCTAACAATGGCTATAGATAAAATTTAAAAAATATATTGTTGATGGTTTTGGTTAAAGTTTTGGTGGATGTTCCCTAATGACATCCACCAAAACTACGTAACATCTAAGCACCTTTTAAATACGTGAAATATCTGCATAAAATTGCGTAAAATGTTTTATAATACTACAATCGAACAATAAATTAATACTTACCATTTCTTTAGTAAAAAGTTTCGACGCAATTTCCCAAACAAATAATACACTTGGGTCATCGGGATAAGTCGGCATGTTGTCGTAGCTTCGTAATTTTTTTCCATCATTCCATCTCAGTCCCTCTCGACCAAGGTGGTTTTGGTGGATGGAATCTAATGCTGACCTTACCCGACCGTCAAAATGCCGCGTTGGAAGATGAGGAGCAATTCTGTTTCATTCATCTTACAACGCAAGAGTTTTTCGCTGCGAGGCACCTAGTAAACAACATGAATGAAACAGAATTAAGGAACTTTGTTTCCGAGAACCTCAAGAACGGCAAATGGCAACTGGTTTTCTTGTTTCTGGCTGGACTAATGGAGGATAAAGTTCACCTACCGAGCGCAATTATCACTGACCTTCTTCCTGTGAAAACTGAAGAGGAAAAAACTGCAGGATTTAACGAACAGTGGACAGAGAATGAAGAGCCAAGGAAAGTGACTCTTGGCCGACCGAAGACAAACGAGATTTAGCAGTGACATTGTTTAAATGAATTAACGAAAGTAATGAGATGGAGCTGATAGCTCAGAGAAAACTTCAACAAATTAACTTTAATTTTGTAAATTTTAGTTCATGTCACCTCACAGCCGTTGATTGCTCTCCGTTAGTAAATGTAATTAAGAATGTTCAACAAATTTCACATTTGGATTTGAATCACAATAACATTGATCCATTTCATTGTTTTGAGATTTGTAAATTGTTCAAATGTAAGGAATCTCAACTAAGCTGGTTAAACCTCAAAAACAATCAAGTGACAGATGAAGCAGCAAAGTATTTAACTGAAGCCATCAACAACAACAACTGTCAGCTACGCATGTTAAGCCTCATTTAATGACATCTCGAACACTGGAGCACAGCACTTAGTTAAGGCCATCAACAACAACAACTGTCAGCTATGCACATTAGACCTCATCGAAATAACATCACAGACATTAGAACACAGCACTTTGCTGAAGCCATCAACAGTGACAACTGTCAGCTACACACATTAATCCTCTCAGGGAACAAAATCCTCAGATATTGGAGCACAGCATTTGGCTGAAGCCATCAAGAACAACAACTGTCAGCTACACATGTTAGACCTCTCAGCAAATAAAATCACAAATAAGGGAGCACAGCACTTGGCTGAAGCCATCAACCACAACAACTGTCAGCTATGCTTGTAAGACCTCTCTTTCAATTAACACATCACAGAAGCAGGTAAGCAACACATTCGTACTTTAAAAAGTAAAGGTCAGTCTAAGTGTAAGCCAATTCTTTAGGCCTCAGCATTTCCAATTAAAAACTGTAAAGAAATTGTTTAAACCACTAACTATTCAACCAAGGTAACCAGTGACAATTAGAGCGACAATAACAACCCAATGACTCAAAACATGAATGAAAGCAAACTAAACCTGTGAAGTGCCCAGAGCAGCAAAATTACTTGAACTGGATCGAAGTGGAGAAAACTGAACCAATGAAGATGTTTATTGAGAACAAAGGATGTCAAACTTTTTTTTGTATTAAACAAACCAATAACACTGAAGTAAACATACAAAGTTTGCTGCAAAGAGAATGAACAAACTGTGGGCCTTTCAGGAACTTTGGCATTTTATGATTAGTTAGTTTTGATCCTAAATTTACTGCATGATTGGTTATGTTTTGATCGCTTATGTCTGTCATAAGGAACATTTTTTGTTGAAGTTCACTTAGAGAGTACAAGTGGATCAGTTTAATAAATGTAGTGCAGATTGCAGGGTACAACATATTTGTTTTATTGCTCATTTTTTCTTTCGATCAAATTCAAGTAGTTTCATACTTACTGCCTTTATTTGAAATCCTAACCAAGTTTAAAATATACAGATCTCGCTTAAAAAAGTTATTTTTGTAGGTTAATGGTGTGAGATTTATATTGTATGGATTGTAACACATTTATTTGAGGTTTCTGCAGTTGATGTCATATATAAGTGTATTCTTGTGTGATATGATGAAATGTCAATAAGTTGCACTGCAAAATTTGAGAAACAAACCTCAGGTTCCCTAAAGAACCTTTTGTCACCTCCACCCACTCTTAAGGGCATACTACATAAAAAATAGTTGGGACATGTAACCCCCTTCCTGAAACCCTCACCATATCTCAGATTAAATGATTTCCTTCCCAATAATGACACAAAATTCTTCTTCACCTCTCAAATCAATATTAATGTTGTGATGCCTAAGAAAGCTTGAAATGTGAATAACATGAAATGAATGTCACATGTTTGCTTGAATAATTTCCAGCCTTGCAACTTATTCAAATATGGGCCAAATAGGAGGACACCCCTTAAGCTTTTATTAATGCTATGTTTATAAAATCAGTGGAACTTGGGAGCCAAATAAAATAGTGATAAGACAAGAGAAATCAAATCTGAGAACAGAGATGAATTCTTCTTGTAAAAGGAATGAGAGGAAAAGGCAAGGAAACTCCGCATTGAATTCCAGCTGCAATTAAGTACAGCCTGCAGCTTAGAAAAAACTTAAAATCTTGAGATTTATTCTCAATTTTTTAAAGACTTTCAATCTGAATTTTGACACAAACATGTATCTATCCATTTCATTTCACTGCTTCAGTTTCTGATATCAGTTTCCTAGGTAGTCTAGAAAATGGCAGCACATAAAGGCAAATCAGCAACAGCAGTAACTTTGCCAAGAGTTTAGATATAGAGCTATATTTTCATCTGAAAGAAACTGGAAATGCAAACAGTATTGAAATGAACTGAAAGATAATCCTAAGGAATTACTTTCGAAAACCTCCAACAAAATTAGTCTTGATCATGAGTTACACTTTTAACCCTTTAACTCCCAGATCAAATTATTAATTCTCCTTACTGTCAACCATACAATTCTTATAATGTTCAGAGAATTTAGTATTAGATCAACTTATCTCCAAATTGATATCTTTCTCTATTCTCATCACTTATCTGGTTGATATTGTATTGATTTGTAAGGAGAAACTCTGCCTTGGTCACTCATGGGAGTAAAAAGGTCAAGTTTAATCCAATCAGTGCAATCTTCCATGGAATTTTTGCTTAAGTGGAAAACACCAAATTCAGGTTTCATTTCTGTTGTTGCAGCATAGAAAAACGTACCATTTGAGACTGCTTCTCATTCTTTTCAACACTTTTGATCTCAATTTTTTCATGATAATTTCGGGGCTAAAAAATATTTAATTTTTTTAATTTCCACAATTTTTGAAGAGTGAATAACCTGCTACAACCCCCTTCTGAAAAACTAGGTAATAGGAATTCCTGCCTCCAAACACCTTTATTCAACAAATCTATTAATCTCTAGTTATTGATATGCACGTCACAGAATGAAGATGACTGTGGATATGAAGGATAAAGCTTCAGAATATCATTTTCCCTCAAAAATATTAACCCTTACACTCCCAGAAGTGATCAATAAGTAATTTATCCTTACAAAACAGTAACAAGCATAAAGGTAATGAGAAGAAAATTTATCAATTAAAGTATACTGCCCAGGACTTGTTTGATGAAAAACCAAATTCTTCAAGCTAAAATTTAAAGAAATGTATGGGAGACAGTGAGGAGAATATTGATAATTACATCTAAGGGGTAAAAGAGTTCACTGAAAAAAATCTGAATGACTTCTTACCAACAGTATGAAAGTGACACGGGGGTCAAAACATAAAATTCTTACAACTAAGCTAAATTTATATCATAAAAAGTATTATGTATGAGACAAGTCTTATAAACAGAGAGAATAATCAAGTGAAATGCTGAAGGATCAATATATGTGTACGAAATGACTTCTCATAACTTTTTCTCATAACTTCGCCGCCAGTTTGTGAGAATTATATACCGTATACCTAGCCGTAATGAAGAAGTTGCTATATGCAAATGAATTTCGGTGAGCGCTAAGCGCGGGCAAACTCATATGAATAAACTTCTGACCTACAGAACTGAAAATGAATGTATTTGTATAATGTCATTAAGGTTTCGAATGTCATTTCGAGGATGAAAATAAATGCTTGCAAATTATTCAGGACAATTTCCAGCCTGGTAGTGGCAAAATCTCGGTGCTCATCGACCCAATTATGTGCAGCCAAGTTTCTAAACCGCGTACTGCCATAATTGTTAAACAAGCAGGAACAATCATCAATCGTTTCTATTTTCTGTGACTGACCCAAAAAGAGATTTTGAAGACAAATATTCGTTACTGTTCTTTACCTTTATGGATAAAACTATATGATTGATAGAAAGGTTATCTTAATGCTATTTTTGACGACCATAGTCAATTTTTTTTATTAATACTTTTGATTGTTTTCTGTTTATTTTCCTTTTTTTTTTGTTTTTGGCATTTGCATTTGATTTGTTTGTTTTGTCTCTGTCTAAATGTTTTCCAGTGTGTTTAGTCTAGCTCGGTTTTTTTAACAATGTTTTGCGAGATTCAATCCCTGGGGAATCGATATGATTGGTAATCGAAGACAAAGAGGTATAGGACTTTTTGGTTTTTGTTCTGATTTGTGTTTGAAAGCGTTGAGAAACCGAAGTTAACATGCACTACAGAAGAGATTCTGACTAAATTGTTCTTTGAAGAGTCTACATTTTGAAAGAACTATTACGTTAAGAGGAATTAACATTACGGCTTAAGCAATTGTGGCTTTTTCATTCACGAATTGTATCACTCTATGAATGATCGTAGGAGCCTTCAGCTGGAGTGAGCTTTCATAGTATGCTATGGACAAAGAGTCAGCGGCGTTTATACAATGATGAGTGGGTATCCGGTCGTTTCGCCTACGGGTCGTTTCGCCTACGGTCTGTTCGCCTACGGTTAGAGTCGATTCGCCTACGTCTTATATGTCAGTTCGCCTACGAGTCAGATGTTGAAGCTTTAAATCGGAATTATTAAAAGTCTTTGTTCCTTGTATTTTTCCTTCCATTCTATCCTCGATGGCTAGAAAAACAACGCGCTAAAACATCTAAGTTCGTTTTTAAAAACTTTATTATGGCGGAACCCGGTCGTCTACGAATGTGTGAAAGATATTTTGCTTAAAATGATTTAAGAAACGTGCGATTGTAAAACTGAGCATTAAGATGTGTATTAAAATGAAATTAACCACCGTTTACGGTCTTTGTGTGGTCGTGTAAAGCGCGAGCAGAGCAGTAAACAAACCACTGTTTACGGTCTTTGTGTAGACTTGTGAAGCGTGAGCGGCGCCTAAACTAAAGAAGGTGAGACTTTTCATTAACATATACGAAATTAGCTTCGGCTTGACTTGACAGTCGGTTCAATTTCTGCGTCGATTTGGCGGGCGACTCGTTGAATCTTTTATCTCTATAAACTAGTTTATGTATGTAATGTGTCCGGGTATTCTGAGTTACTCCGTTTGCGTACTTTCATCTAACAGACAAATAATATAAAAACTTAAAGCCTCCTTTGTGTAGACTTGTGACTTGAGCGGCGCTCATACAAAGGGAGGTGAGAGTTTTCATTAGCATACATAGTACTTACCACAAAATTAGCTTGTTCACACTTCACAGGTTGATGTAACTTTTTATTTCGATGTTGCGGCTTGTTAAATCGGTAATCATATTCATATACTTCGGACTAAGTAAGATAAATAAACGTTCGTGTTCACGTTTGGACTTGGTTCAAATAACCAAGGTTTAGATTAAAGTAACAACCTACACAAAAGGTGGGAAAAAAACACGGAAATTTTCAGGTAAACGAACGCTCCTTATTTACAATTATTTAACTTCGATAGGCTTGACTTTATGAGTCACGCTCTAGGAATTGAATCGACCGACTAGGATCCGAGCGCGATCGCACATAAAGTAGATGAATCAACTGTTGTAACACATGTTTTAACACGTAGGCGAACTGACATATGAGACGTAGGCGAATCGACTCTAACCGTAGGCGAACAGACCGTAGGCGAAACGACCCGTAGGCGAAACGACCGTAATTCGATGAGTGAAGTGCCTTCGATGTGTATTGTGACCAGACAACATCCTGTGGGGGGTGGACACTGTTTCGGAGAAGACTGCACGCACCTGGGCTGACTCAGTACAAACATGGCTTTGGTGACCTAATTGGTGAGTTTTGGCAAGGACTGGACAAGATCCGCCGCGGGCAGTAAGACAGAAAATAGGCTTCGAGTAGAGCTGGATGTACCAAACAGCAAAAAAGTTTATGTTGAGTATGACTGGTTAGAATTGGAGACGAGACAATGGAATACCGCCTGAACATTGGTGGTATCAGTTAAATTAAACGTTTAAAGTACAAGTTAAGCGACCGTGGAAAGGATCTTGATAACCACCGCTGAAACCTTTTTAAAGAGCGCGATATACATGAATCTACTGCAAGAAAAGTTATTGACAAAAGGACCCAGACACGTTTTCTGACTGGCAGGTTTTGTTGAAAATGAGATGATAAGACTGTTTTATTGCCTTTTACTTTCAATAGTCCGTATTTTACTATTCCAGTCCATTGTAAAACAATCCCTGAAGTACCGAATGCTAATTTGACGTCTGTAGGCAATTGTGTGAAATTTAACGATATATTTTGATCGTTGGACTTTAAGGCCCGCAACTTGTCTTGAAATTTGTGCTAATTTTATTTCCAAGGAAATGCAACTGTTCCTAAGGATTCTTTAGGTCCCCATAAGGGCTGCTCGTTTGGCGCGTGGGACGAAGATCCTTCAGGTATTTGCTCTGCAAAGATAGGGGGAGGCTGGTGGTACAGTGCTCAGACAGAATGTGATGTTTGTTCAAATCTCAGTGGTGTCTTTCCGAACTGTGAAAACCCTCAACCCTTAGGTATGAAAAACTGGGAATATTTAGATTTTACCAGCCCTACAAACAGCAATCCCACATCTTCTTAAATGAAAATCAAACCAATGGAGAAGTGAGCATGGAGGATATGAGTAAAAAGGAAAATTCATTAAACCCACAAAAGCGTAAAAGTTAATGGGATTCAATGTTTATGTTGTACAGTCCAAATTTTCCTATTGCGTTTGCCATTACTGTTCATTAAAATTAATTAAAATTTGTCTTTTAAACTTCCTGATGTATTAATTTCCAGCCGTGTATGTCGCGGATCGTTTCGTTAGAGTTTCGTGCACTTTAAGTTTCCCTTGCTGTCAGATTGGTATCTTAACATCTCGTGCACTTTTATATCTGCTCAGTGTCAGATGGTTATGTTAGTATCTCTCACACTTTTAGTTTTCTTTGGTACCTGATGTTTATATTTATCTCGTGCACTTTTAGTTTTCCTAGGTGTTCGATTTTTACGTTGGAATATCAAGCACGCTTGGTTTTTCTTGGTGTTTTATTGTTACGTTGGTATCTCGCGCACGCTTGGTTTTTTTTGGTGTTCCATTAGAACAATAACTTTCGCAATTTATCGTGTTTTAGTAAACAGCATGAGCAAGTTGAGAAGTCGATACAATAAAATCGATGCAACCTTTTTTTCAGTGGTTGTTGATGTTATTTTTACAGTGGACACAAGCAGCTCAGGAAGCCCTGGCCTAAAGAAAAAGTGAGGATGAAATTTAATGTCTTATAAATTAGTTTAAACCTTTTTTTAGAGTGCAATTTTATAACACGAAGAAATTAAAATATATCAAACAAAATGAAAATATAAAAGAATGCAAATTAGCCATGTGTTTTACCAGATGATACAGTATTTGATAATAGGAGTACTTTGGCAGAATATTTTGTTGTTTTAGCTAATTTTTTGTTGGAATGTTATTTTATTATACAGCTTCCACATGTACAGTTCTCATCACAAAATCTTAAATATTTTTCTGATTTATTGTCAGGAAGATTATGTATGATTTTACACATTTGTGTGAGTCTGTTCTTCATCAGTCTTTTTTCTAATGTGACCCATCCTAGTTCTCTAATCATATCTGTTACACTGGCTATGTCAAGGTTAGACAAGAGGAGAGAGAGAGTGGTGGTGGAGATAAAGATGGAGGAGTTGGTGGAATTGGAGATGGAATCTGAGAAGACAAAAGAGCAGAAGGATGAGGCCAAGAAACTGGTAGAAGGGGAGAAAAAGAAGGCAATAGAGATGAGGGAGAGAGCAATGGAGAGGTTCAGTCAAACCGAAAAACGACAAGAAGAAACAAAAGGATGAAGGGAAAAAGGAGAAAAAAAGAAGAAGATCAGGAGAGGCAATAGAGTAGTTGAGAGAAAAAGGAGAGAATATGCGAGAGATGAAGGAGCAAGAACTTCAAGAAAGAAGGGAAGAACGAGAAGCCCAAAGAGCTCAAACTGAACAGTCTATGTCTCAAATGCAAGCTCAAAATGAGCAAATGAAATTATTTCAACAACTGCTGCAACAAATGCAGCAACAGCAACAACAGCACAGCCAACAACAACAACAATTTGCCATGTTGCACCATCAGATGATGCAAGTTTTGACGCATCAAACATGCATTTCAGCAACAGTTTAAGATAGATTAAGGGTTTGGGTTTGATATACATCAGCATTGAATGCAATGTCATTATCTGAGTTTCGTATGTTATCTAATTTTTTTATATAAAACAAAATTTTTAATCAAATAGAGTATATTTTGTATTGTAAAGGCCAATTATCTTGATTATCTTTATTTATTAAATAAAAGTTTTGGGCAGCAGGCCATTTTACGAATAAAATAGAAAATTACAACTTTGATCATTAAAATACACTGTGAACAATCATAAAACAAATGTTGTGTTTACCAGATAAAGTAATTGGTACACGTTAACCAGGGGCCAGGGGTAATACACTTTTGAGCTATGAAAATTTCCTTTACTTTTCAAGGAATTCCATGACCAAAGTTAGCAAGTGTACTGATTGATTAAATCCACAATGGTACAAAAATTTGCATAAATGTCACAAAAGTATTAAGTGTAAACAGAAATGTCCACACATGTAGATTGTGCTGATGTTTATTTCTACTGAAGAAAATATTTTTCCACTTGTCAGCTTATTTTACAAATTTGGATCTACAATCCTTTGCACTCATAGAAAGCCTTAAAAAAAAGGTAAACAATATACAAGTTCTTAAATTTTTTACCCTCCAACATCAGTATGTGTAACTCTTCTATTGGCCAAAGTACAAAATGAAACAAATTCAAATTATTGGAAGTAGTCCTGTAAAGAAGGCGGTTGAACTTTTCTGACACAATTTTACTATACAGACAGGTCAACGCATTTTCCAAAGGGCACAGACAATGTAAAATTTCCCCACTGAACTCAAGTTAATTTGTAATTGGCTTTTAAAATCAATAAACTTAAAATAGTTTGTAATATTACCAAAAAGCCACTCAACTGCAACTCTTACTTCACTCATGGCCGCATTGTACAAAACCATTTGTGGAGTGAGTTGAATGTTTTTAAAAGGGGCCTGAAGGTGAACACCCAAAGGGTGTGCAGGATCACCATAAAGACAAAGAGGATGCCCATTATGAAACGCCACCCTCCGAAGCTCATTGAGAATGTCTGTTTGTTGGAGCATTGTGCTGTCGCGTCTTTTACCATCAAAGGGGCCATTAAGGTTTGTAAAATCCGTTTGGGATGACAACACTGAAATTTATGGAATGTATTCTCTTGTGGCCATTGCACATAACCCTTTGGTTTTCTTGTGGCCTCGCTATTCCACGCACAGTACCATCAATAAATCCAAAACAATTGCCTAATGGAGCACCAAGACGTTTAGTCGATGCTTATGATTACCGTAGATAAAATCGATCATAGTGTTGAAGATTAAGCAAAGCTCGGTCGGATTCCTGCCAAAGCGGGGTACCATGTCTGGGTATCTACAAGGGTATGCCAACTCCTTTAACAAAGTGCACAGGCCCTCCATCCCACCACATACTGTTCTTTGCACGCAAGTAATTTTTTCCGGAATTCCTAAACATTCACATAATTCAGGCAGATGTTTCTTCGCAAATCTAAGCTCGGTCTTGTACTCCACATCGCTCCACTCGTCTTCACTCAATCTGGGGAATTTCCAGTATGGGAAAATAAGTTTTGACGAATATGCGTCATATAGAAGAACAAATTCGTCATCGTCAATAACGTCAAAGAAGCTGGCTGTTAACAAAGCATCGCGGACGGAGCTTAAACCACCGCTTGCCATGATCTATGATATGGGAAGCCACCAAGGAGTCGCAATACAGAGATCACGAAAACCGTTCTCACGAAAACAACTCGCATGAAAAGATGACGACAATTACACAAATTTCACAAAAACACATTTAATGGGCTAAATTCTACAGAAATTAAAATAAAACTGCCCTCCCAAATTTTATTTAAATTAAAGTAGAATTTTAAAATTCACCTCATTTGGTATCCAAACCAAGTTCTAACGAGTAACTCGTGCCGTAGTCGTCCCCGTCGGCGTTTGACAGGTGGTATATAGTAACATTAATTTCGTTGCCCTAAATTGTAGCTGATTAACTTAAAATTTACGACGAGAATTTTAACGATAATCAATTGGTATTCTAGAACAAGAATTTGCAGCACGTTTCCCTTGCTAAATCACTTTTCAACACAACGCGACGGCGTTCTCGACCCGGTTTCTTATCGTCACTTTTGCCGCGCGTGCTGTTCTGAAATGACATTCCCGTCCTCTTGCTAAACCACTCTAGTATCTCGAGCACGCTTGGGTTTTCTTAATGTTTTATTGTCAGGTTGGTATCTCGCGCACGCTTGGTTTTTCTTAGTTTTCCATTGTTACGTTGGTATCTCGCGCACTCTTGGTTTTTTTTGGTGTTCCATTGTTATGTTGGTATCTCGCGCACGCTTGGTTTTTTTTGGTGTTCCATTGTTACGTTGGTATCTCGCGCACGCTTGGTTTTTTTTTGGTGTTCCATTGTTATTTTGGGTATCTCACGCACGCTTGGCTTTTCTTAGTGTTCCATTGTTATGTTAGTATCTCGAGCACGCTTGGTTTTTCTTGGTGTTCCATTGTTGCGTTGGTATCTCGCGCACGCAGGGTTTTCCTTGGTGTTCCATTGTTATGTTAGTATCTCGAGCACGCTTGGTTTTTCTTGGTGTTCCATTGTTGCGTTGGTATCTCGCGCACGCAGGGTTTTCCTTGGTGTTCCATCGTTATATTAGTATCTCGCGCACGCTTGGTTTTTTTTGGTGTTCCATTGTTATGTTGGTATCTCGCGCACGCTTGGTTTTTTTTGGTGTTCCATTGTTATGTTGGTATCTCGCGCACGCTTGGTTTTTCTTGGTGTTCCATCGTTACGTTGGTATTTTGAGCACGCCTGGTTTTTTTTTTGGTGTTCCATTGTTATGTTGGTATCTCGCGCACGCTTGGGTTTTCTTAGTGTTCCATTGTTACGTTGGTATCTTGCGCACGCTTGGTTTTTTTCGGTGTTCCATTGTTACGTTGGTATCTCACGCACGCTTGGTTTTTCTTAGTGTTCCATTATTACGTTGGTATCTCGGTTTTTTTTTGGTGTTCCATTGTTATGTTGGTATCTCGCGCACGCTTGGTTTTTTTTGGTGTTCCATTGTCACGTTGGTATCACGCTTGGTTTTTCTTGGTGTTCCATTGTTATTTTGGTATCTCGCGCACGCTTGGCTTTTCTTAGTGTTCCATTGTTATGTTAGTATCTCGAGCACGCTTGGTTTTTCTTGGTGTTCCATTGTTGCGTTATTGTATCTCGCGCACGCTTGGTTTTTTTTGGTGTTCCATTGTTATGTTGGTATCACGCTTGGTTTTCTTGGTGTTCCATTGTTATGTTGGTATCTCGCGCATGCTCGGTTTGTTTTGGTGTTTCATTGTCAAGTTGGTATCACGCTTGGTTTTTCTTGGTGTTCCATTGTTATGCTGGTATCTCGCGGACGCTTGGTTTTTTTTGGTGTTCCATTGTTATGTTGGTATCTCGCGCGCACTTGGTTTTTTTTTGGTTTTCCATTGTCATGTTGTATCTCGCGCACACTTGGTTTTTCTTAGTGTTCCATTGTTAACTTGGTATCTCGCGCACGCTTGGTTCTTTTTGATGTTCCATTGTCACGTTGGTATCACGCTTGGTTTTTCTTGGTGTTCCATTGTTATGTTGGTATCTCGCGCGCACTTGGTTTTTTTTTGGTTTTCCATTGTCATGTTGTATCTCGCGCACACTTGGTTTTTCTTAGTGTTCCATTGTTAACTTGGTATCTCGCGCACGCTTGGTTCTTTTTGATGTTCCATTGTCACGTTGGTATCACGCTTGGTTTTTCTTGGTGTTCCATTGTTAAGTTGGTATCTCGCGCACGCTTGGTTTTTTTTGGTGTTCCATTGTTATGTTGGTACCTCGCGCACGCTTGGTTTTTCTTGGTGTTTCACTGTTATGTTGGCATCTCGCGCACGCTTGGTGTTTTTTTGGTATTCCATTGTTATGTTGGTATCTCGCGCACGCTTGGTTTTTCTTGGTGTTTCACTGTTATGTTGGTATCTCGCGCACGCTTGGTTTTTTTTGGTATTCCATTGTTATGTTGGTATCTCGCGCACGCTTGGTTTTTCTAGGTGTTTCACTGTTATGTTGATATCTCGCGCATGCTTGTTGTTTTTGGGGTTTCCATTGTTATGTTGGTATCTCGCGCACGCTTGTTTTTTTTTGGTGTTCCATTGTTATGTTGGTATCTCGCGCACACTTGGTTTTTCTTAGTGTTCCATTGTTATGTTGGTATCTCGCGCACGCTTGGTTTTTCTTGGTGTTCCATTGTCATGTTGGTATTTCGCGCACGCTTGATTTCTTTTCGATCGATTTTGCCGGTTTTAAGGTTAGTATCTTGTGCACTTTAAACTTTCCTTGTTGTCCGTTTGTTACCTTGCTATCTCGCCCGATTGTTTCGTTGGTATTTTTTATTACATTTAAATGGTGTCCAATGCTTATAATTGCATTTCGTAGACTTTTTGTTTTAATTTTTACTTTTGCCTGATTGTTTAGGTAGTGTCTAACACACTTTTAAGTTTTTCTTGTTGTCCGATTGTTACAATAGTATCTCGTGCACTTCCTTGGTGTCGGGTTGTTAGATAAATATCTCGGGCACTTTTAGTTTACCTTGATGTGCCATCATTACTTCAGCATCTTGCACTCTTTTAGTTTTCTATGTTGTCCGTTTGTTACCTTAGAATCCCACGCTCTTTTAGTTTTTCTTGGTGTCTGACTATTACTTCAGTGTATCGTGCACTATAAGAATTCCTTGTTGTCCTATTGTCATGTTAGCATCTCGTGAATTCTCAGCTTTTCTTAGAGCTCGATTTTTATCACCCATTTTTTAAATTTCATTGATGTCCGATTGTGAAGTTAGTATTTCGTGGTTTTGTTGGTTTTCCTTGGCTTCTCATGCACTTTTAGTTTTCCTTGTTTTCTTATGGTTACGATAGTATCTCAAGCACTGTTAGGTTTCCTTGTTCTCCTATGATAGATATCTTAGAAAAGAAGAGCAATGCATGTACTCACATCATAAAAAAACAAAAGAAAAAAGTTTAATTTCGCTACCAAGTACACTTTAACATTAATTCTTTTCCTTCCTCTGTTTTTCATACGGTTCTGTTTCCTGAATTCTTCTTTTTCTAAAGCAGCTCTCTAGCCATTTTGAACTGACAACCTTAACATCATCGTTTAATTCTTGAGAGGAGTGCTGAAAATGAAAATTAATAAAATAAGGAATACTCAACTTAAGTACCAAGAAAAAAAAATTGGACTTAAATGTTGGAAAGTCGTTAATTTTAATGGAATGATACGCTGCTTTTGTTTACTGAAATGAAAATACGACTGCATGTTACTTACATATTGATCGCTATCATCACAAGTTACCACATGAGTCACATCCCCGCACGCAATGTGTGATACATCGCCATTGTAAATAAACAAGTGTTAAAGATGAAATTTTCCAGTACGTTATACACGCCTAACTGTCTTGGTCAATTTTATAGAAATAAATCACTTTACTTAGAAATTTTTTAAGGAAAATGTTAAAATTTGTCAATAAATTCTCCCTGGCTTTAAGCTTAAATTACATTAGGAAGAGCTTCAAAGACGTCTCCGGCATAAATTAACTATCTGACTCTCAGAATGCCTCTCTCCCCCAGGAATGAAAATGGGAACCGGTAAACCGCCATGAAAGACCTAACGAAATGCTGTGGGTAACCTAAAACCGATCAGTATCCCATCCAGGAGTAGACGGCATTCTTGGGGATATTTTTCCTTCAGATGAGTTTTTGGTGTTGTTTGCCATTTTGGGAAAGGGTCCATAATACATCACTGAGGTGACTGTTATGATCAAGTTATACCTTTCTTCGTAATAGGAAAGGAGAACATGCACTTTCGAAACAAATAAAAATGGAGATTAAAGGATATGCCACCAGATAGCGTGTCAATTGCTTCCTATGTGTCTCTTCAACATTATGAAACAAGACATTTACACCGTACATGAAGTCAGGTAGTGAATGCTTTGTACTCTTTCGATGTTCACTATGAGAGGATTCATCATCCTTGGATGTTTCCCGCTTGTCTTTCGCCTTGTAACTTCTTTTTTTCAGAGAATCTGCGTTTAATGATGTCAGAGTTTTTGAGTTATTTGTAGCTGATTGTCTATCAAAATAATATCTGCGATAGTGTCAAGATCTGTTAGTTCAGTTCTACTTATATAAAATAAAATATAGATATCGATCAGATTTCGTTATTTCACCCCGTTACAAGACCGCTCTTTAAAAAGTTATTCCCTCAGTTCACCTTGAGAGACGCGACATGACTCCACACTGAACAATTCGGCGTTGGAAAAAATTTGTGGGTTATCAAATCCAAAAAATATATATATAAGAAAAGGTTGTGATAAAAGAGAACCCGATCAATGCCACTTTTGCACAAAACACAATTTCTAACCTCATGGTATGATCCAATTATTTTATTGGATTCCGTAATGGTAAATCTACGTGTGTGGCTCTTCATTCACTGTTCACGGATCGAATTCGAATTTGAAGGGGTTGGTTTTTAAGAAAGAAAGAAACACGATGAAACTTGAGAAAAAACATCGGAGCAAGGATGAGAACCACAAACCAGCTCAACCAACACGTCAACCAGGTCCGAGAATCGAACCCATGCTACAGTACTGGAAGGTCAGAGCAGGCTGTCGCCATTACATGATCTCTGCGACCTATTACTTCACAAAGGATACACTGATGTCTGAATTCCTTTGCAGACAAGGTGCTTCCGTAACAGTCTCTCCGTGCCATACCAGTTAAAACTAGGTGTATTGTAACCAATTCGTGGAAGGTGAATAGTAGCTGGAGAGAAAAGACATTTCCTATTTTTAAAATAACACATTGTCGAAAAAAAGGGTAGAACTTAGGTAACAACATACATTCAAAACAATAAATAAAAAACAAGGGAGAATTCTGCATACATTTCCTTTTTTCGCCAAGGGGGATGGGGTACTCCTCTGAACCATCATTCTTTGTTGACGGCTGATTGTGAAAACAACTGTTTTCAATCTTAACTAAACTAGCCTACGTATGGTGAGGTAACCTCTACGAACACCGGACACTACTCGCGTTCTGTGACATCACTTTTGCAGGAAAATTTAAAATAACTTTTTACTGGTTGACCCCTTTATCGATTCTTTCGTGAATTCTGATTGGCCACAGTTGGTATTTTTCTTTCATACTAACGAACAAGATGGTGAACAGAATGCTTCATGGTCAACTTTTCAGACAAAAGTGATCTACGACGAGGTTTTAAGGCAAATTTGTGCGACTTGTGAGATAGAGATATTTCGAAAAGAACATCAGAAAGCCATAGATATGTTTTTTGAAGGTAAAGAAGTCTCCATTTCGTTACCAACTGGCTATGGAAAATCTTTCATATAACAAGCCGCGCCAGTGATTGATCGCTTCTCTTCTCTAGAAGAAACTGGTCTCTATCTTTATTGTGCCGCCCGTTAAAGCTCTGATAGAAGACCAGGTGCATCATCTAAATGGACTTGGGCCAAGAGGATTGTCCGCCTTCATCTTCCGTCTCGAAAAAATACGTAAAATTTTACCTGATCCCCCATGAGGCTCCATAATATCCTCATGATTCCCCTCCCCCCACCTCCTTTAGGCTGTTAACTGACATTCAATTTTCTATAGTCCCCTGCTTTATACTCTGTTGGCGCGAATGATCCCAACCCCCCCCCCCCCCCCCCCCCCCCCCGTCCCCCCTAAAAACCATGTGATTTTCCCTAAAGCGAGTGCAATCGACGCCAAAATCAGAATCAATGGGAAAAACAAAGAACTGAGCCACCCATGATGATTCAAAGCTTAGCTAGTTCGAATGCTCTACCAACTGAGCTTCAAAGAATTATGGAAAGAATCAGTCTGTGGTCACTTTTTTCAAATGTTACCTTTCATTTTCTTTGCCGCCAATGCTATCCTCTTCAAGCCTAGACTTAATGACGTCAATTTTATCCCAGAGAGTCTGTTCTGCCTGTCACGTGACTGAGCCACAATCAAGGCCACCTTAGTAAAGAAAAAGTATCAGTGAAGATGAAAAGACACTAAATACGACGCGCTTTGTCATTGAAGTTGCCTATAATCTATCAGAGTAAACAGACCAAGAGCTAACACTGTTAGCATTTTCTTTGGTTTGCCCAAAATGGCACCCAGGTTTGAATATTTTTCGAGAACATATGCCATTGAGAAAGTTTGGAATAGAAGCCGTTCTTTTGCAAGACAAAAAAGGAATTAGGTAGAAGTCTTAACTCTCCTAGATAGGACATTAGTTGTGCCCAGTTCTTGCTGAATTCCAGGTGGAGGGGTCTGGGTTCGAGCCCTTGTCAGGTTAGGTCAAGAGATTTCGGATAAGTTGCTTTACTTTCAATAATCCTTTCTTCATCAAGGAGTGTAACAGGAACTAGCAAGCTACCAGGGAAAGCTGACGAAATGCTGGGGTTAACCTGCGATGGCAGGGAGAGTAGCAAGACCCTTAGTCACCTACATTCTGATATCACAAGAAAATAAGAGAGGTGTCAACAAATCGATAGTTAAACTCTAACGGAGGTATTCCACGCTTACGTTGATTTCAGTGCAGGTATTCAGGGTCCAGAAAAGGGCTGTTTTTAAATACATCGAATGGCGTTTCAAGAGTCAGCCGAAAACTTCAGCAGATGTCATCATCAAAGTCAACTGACCACTTAAACTTTTCAAATTATTTAACGTACATATTCATGACCATCCTTTGGGTTTCGTCGATCGTCAAGTGGGACAAGATGTGCATCTCCTAACTTCAGATCTGAAAAAAAAAACAACAAAAAAAACAACAAAAAAAAACGCTAAAGCTCAAGTTCAAGCTGCCTTTAGATTTCCACAAAAATATTTTCGAAACTGAAATTTTGGCGTTATTTTCGTCAAAAAAGAAAATACAAAGAAATAGAGTAGGGCGAGAAATAGTTAAACTAATTTTATGCTTTTCAAAGAAATTCAATTCATTTTAAGATAATGATATTAACAACGAAAAAAAATTAAAAATTGATGTATGAGAGAAAAAAGTAAATACGTAGAATAATAAGAAGTTGTCTTAGCAATTATCAGTTCTGTGAAAAGACCGAAAGTTCTTTCTATCTATTTCTTAGTTGATAACAAAAAACACACAATCATTACCTCTAGTGGAATACTACGAAAACGAGTAGAAATGATGTTACTCCCGTTCCTCCCTGTTTAACAAGAGGTATGTGCGAGTACAAAGGTGGTGATTTCGGGTTGGGATACCTGTGCCTTAACACAAGGCTTGAAGCTTTCAGCCTATTTACTTGGTAATTGGTGGACCAACCACCGCTGGCTCAACAAAATTTCCAAAACACAATTAATCCCGCATATGGAAGCCTATTTTGATATAGCCATGGTACAAACAACAACAATACCTTTCATTCTATTGGCTAGCTCGTACTGAGTTTCTGGTCGAGTTGATCTTCGAGATAACGCGGAAAATAGTCCTCCCTGACCCCACCTCCCAGAGTCGTCTGTTGGTAATATCAATGTATCAGTACACTGAATAATATCAATGTATTCAGCACACTGAATTGGAAGCAATGACGAAATTTACAAATATTTTTAGATTCCACTCATAAAAATTGATGAAAAAGTTCAAAGACTAAAACAATTATGAAGTTTCTTGAACACTTTGTATGGCAATCGACGAGGAGATGAAGATTATGCATAAGGAAGGCTCTGAGAGAATCGACAAAAATTGCTCGAGGGAAAGGATAACATGAACTCTGACGATGACAAATTTTTAAGGCCACGTACAAAGATCAACAAAGAAATGTAATTAAAGACAAAGGAAGGCAAACATAAAAAACTGTAAAAATTGCCAAACTACGCAAATTCGAAGATTCTGCACAAGCTTTCGTCTGAATTGCTGAAACCTTTGCTTTCACGTTACTGAATTGAAGTGATTTCAGGGTTTTTGATATCGCGCACTCACCAACACAGTGTATTATGATGGCATCGGAACCGCATATTTTGATGGGATGTGTGACGTCACCACGTACGTATCGAATATCTTTTTGCTCACGTTCGTCTTCTTCGTCAAATGAATCTTTAGTTTCATCTTCGTCTTCTTCTTCACCATTCGCAATATTAAGGGTTGAGTAATCGGCGTCCTTCCATAACTTTTCCCTTTCATAGGAAAATCAACATGGGAGATTAAAAATCATGACGCGCTTGTTTCCTAATATTCTCGGTATATATTAAATCGATGACAATCTCCATTTCTTAGTTATTCTTTCAGGAAGGTTATCATGGCCCGTTCAAGTCCAAACGCCACTCCCATGATGCTTCATATCGAACAAAGTTCGTCTTAGGAGCCACGTTAGAGCGATTGATAGGCCAGATTGAATATTACGTATGGGGCCAGGGTACGGGTATAATGGTTATGTGGCAACATGCTCGAATGGCGGAGGGGGAGATTATAAATTATCTTAATTCGTTCTTTATGTTCGGCTCACGACGAGAAAGCAGTGAGAACCAATGGCTGCTTCAGTGCTGCATAAGCGACAGACCCTACTAACCTTATCATTGTTTGCTTTACTTAAAAATGCTGAACCAAACAGTTTCCGAAAAGCGAAAAGCCCAAGTTGGGAGTTAAAATAAACGTATGTATGTATGTATTCTAATGCTTCTCTTCTTTCGTACTTAAATGACAAGTTTGTCCCAAAGGGTTTGAAACACGCCTCAGAGAAAGGCATTAGAACATTGCCTCCTGAAACCTCTTGAAATGGTGAATAAAACTTGAATGAGATACTCACAATTTTGTTTGTCTGTCCCTTTCCTTCCTAGACTCCTCTTCCTCCTTTAGCTTTGCTCTTTTTGCAGCATTTTCTTCCCTCTGGAAAAACAACATGAATTTAGTCAAAGTGCTCTAACCTTTTGATCTTTTGACCGGTTAACCTTTTCACTCGAGCAATACACAAAGGTTAGGAAAGCGAGTTTTTATTTTCTTGAAAATTAACGGCGGGTAGCTTTCTCAACGATTTATAGCAAACGTACATAAATTTTACAGCAGAATTATTTCATTTATCCTACTGACAGCAGTGGTAAACTTAAACTTACTTATCTTAAAATTTCTCACTCTATCTGTTACCTGCAATAAAACTTAAGAATGCCTTAACAGGCCCATTGGTCCGAGGGGAACAAGTTTGCCTAAGAT